CACATCTATTTTATCAAGAATAATATTAAAGGCCCATCCACACCAATTATGATGACTGACTAAATTCTAATACGGTGATAAGAACACAAGTAATTGGAATTACTTTCAGAACAATTTTTTTTCAGCTTATGAATGATAAAAACAATGATAGCCAATCAGAATTCACCAGACTTTAAAGAGCTTGAACATTTAAGCAGCAGATGCCAAAGCCGGTGCGTGTTCTTATAATAATAAAAATAATATCATCTGTTTGTGTGGATGATCATATAGCTATCTTTATAATTATCATTCTTGAAAGGGCCTGAGGAAATAATTCTTGAGCAGCAAATCAGTATATTAGGAGGATTTCTGAAGGATCACGTGACACTGAAGCCTGGAATAATGACTGCTGAACTTCACAAAATTTCCATTGCCATCACAAAAATTCTGTTTGTGTGGATGATCATATAGCTATCTTTATAATTATCATTCTTAAGGGCCTGAGGAAATAATTCTTGAGCAGCAAATCAGTATATTAGGAGGATTTCTGAAGGATCACGTGACACTGAAGCCTGGAATAATGACTGCTGAAATTCACAAAATTTCCATTGCCATCACAAAAATGTATTACATTTTAAAGAATATTCACAAAAAGAATTGCCATTTTAAATGTTAATACTCAGATATTTTAAATAGTAATATTTCACCGTATTACTATATTTTTATTAAATGCATGCAGTCTAGAATTACTGTTAAAAAAGTCAATAATTGTTTTTTTTAAGTTACTTTTGTTATATCGGTTTCACAAGAAAAATAAGCCCTGGTGAAAACAAGATGCATCTGTGTGGGATGTATATTGTAACAAGCGATTTGGTCTCGCTGTGAGCTTTTTTTCTGTATAGTTTTCTAACAGCTTTAGTTCCATACTGAAAATCAATGGGACATCCGGATTAATTTCAGACACCATCCATTTATTCAGTTCTGAGGAAGCCATTTCAGAAGTGCATTTTCTCTCACAACGCTTAGAGGAAACATTGGTTAGACTGCTGTCTGAATATTGCCGTTCTCATAAAGATATCTGTTTATTTTTGTGTAAGGTGTGGCAACATCTTCTGTTCCATGCACCGCTACTCAGAAACCCACGACTGCACCTACGACTACAAAAGCGCAGGCCGACGCTTTCTACAGGAGACCAACCCCATCATAAGTGCACCAAAGCTGCCCAAAATATGAAGGGTGAGAGAAAAAAAAAGACATGATATCCATCATCTATTAAAAGAGAGAAAATCTTGATCACCAACCTGTGCTTTTATCACCATGTTTGCTTAAAAATATAGTAGTGAAAAAACAAAAGGGAAAAACAGTGCTCACTCATTAGCATTGCCTTGGAAAACACACCTTTGTCTGCTGTCTATAAATTACTTCATGCAAAAAAAATACAAAACCCTGCATGTAAATAGTTTCTAATAGGCCTGGGCGATAAAACGGTATCTATATTTATCGACGGTACACCTTCTTCGATATCGATAGAAAAATTGTTCGATATAGCGCACGTACTATGAGTGACGCAGACAGCACACACAAACACGAACACATGCTGAATTGAGTGCTGTGCCTGCCTGTGATGAGATTGTGAATAAAGAATGAATATTAGTCAAATTTAAAATAAACATTTGCATTTGAATGTTAGGTGTGCATCAGGGAGCGAGATGTGGTGAGTGTTGTAAGTGATGTTGTTGCATTTTAATGTTTTGTTAGTCTAGCCCACGAGATGCGCCGCTGCTGCGTTATTCATTCAAAATATTAGAGAAATATAGAAGCTCAATGCAGAGAAGATCTTGAATGGGTTAAAACCGAAACCAAGTCATTCACACAGAACGCATATTCAGCGCATTTTTTAGATGGACAAATATGACTGCTGCACTCGCGCCTCACAGAAGAGATGTATAGAAAGCCATGCAAAGTTAAAACAGTTTAAACTTTTAGAAAACACGTCACGAATTTGTGGAGGTTTATTTTTTTTCACTGCGTCTCATATGTTTTTAAATGCAGTCTGTGTGAATGGCACTTCGGCTCTTTGGATTAAGCAATGCATAAATACATGATGCTGTTTTGTTCATAATTGTTTATGCAATTTACGAAATTATATTTGATTTTTATGAGTTAATTTAGACGTAATGCACGTTTTTATAGAGTTACTTCCTTGCGTTGACATTTTAAATACGCTGCATTGTTTTGCTCATTGCGCCCTCCTGTAGCCTCGGGAGACAATTAGACCTATACAATAAAGACCTATTTAATCTGCATATAAACATTAGAAATTAGATATTTGTTTAATTTTTTATTGTGTTTGTTAAAACAAAAAATATTTGTTGTTTATCTCAATAAATTGTGTTAATTATAAATACAGTGGTTAAATTTAAACATTTTTTTCTATTGCTTTTTGTTTTAAAAAAGGTTATAAAAAATTTCAATAATTATCGATACCGAACGATATGAAACATTATATCGTTGATCATTTTTTTAGCTATATCGCCCAGCCCTAGTTTCTAAAAACCTTTATATCATGCAAACAAACTTTTAAAATGAGTAAAAACTTATAAATAAGCAAAATACACAGCTACGCATATCTATTTACATGTTTTGCTCTTTTTGAAATAGAACCAACAATCACTTTTCATGACAAGTCTTGCAGGGATGCACTTTAGTAATGCTGAATATCTCTTGTGGAGATGGGGGTCTGTAAGAGAGGGGGGTGACTGTGTGCTTGAACTATGTGCCGTTTTGTCTTTTGTAAGTTTCCTATTAGAACTGTCTTATGTTTCTGACACATTGCTCCTCTTTCCTTTCTAGAAGCACTCTACCTAGGCCTGTCATGATAACAACTTTTTGTTGTGCGATTGCCCCAGAAATAATTGCGATAAGCGATATTATTGTCATTTTAAAGACCATTTTATGCCACTGAATAAATAGTAAATAAACATTTTCAAACGAAAAGTGCAACGTAACAAGTAGAAAAAAAAGAAAATGCACAAAGAACTTATATGGAGATTTTTCCATCTACAGATTTTCCCTGGCCTTCTTTTCTCTGTAAATTAAGGGTGCACACTATTCCTGAAAAACACAATCACTACTCAGCAGTCAGATGTCCGTATGCACAAAGGCACAGATCCCTAAACAAGACCATATCTGCAGATGAAACTTTTTTTTTTTTTTTTGTTGAAGCATTTTTTAAATTTGAACTAGCACCTCATGACTACCCCACGTTATGTACGAGAAGCTGCAAAAGACACAGACGCAAGTGGAATAAACAAAACATGGTGACATTAATTTTAAAGTAAATATAATGGGCGATATATTGCGTCACCAAAAATGATTGAGGTCATGTACATATATTGCGCGATAAATCGATATATTGATTATTGCAACAGGCCTAACTCTACCAAACAGTTCTTGTCATGGAAAATGCCAAGCACTGCACACTCGTGTTATAACAAGACTGTTTAACCTTGGTTCACTTTGAGAATGAAGTATATAGGCTCTGTCGGCCGTACACACTACACTATGCAGTTTGACCATGTAGCATTCTAAACAAACTTTATAAGGGCTTGGCATGATAAGATGTGAACAGTTGACTGGTTTTCATGACGAACGATCCTTTTTGTACCTTAGTATTTGAAAAGCTGCTCAGAAGGCAGCAGTTATTATTTGCATTTTTCTGTAATTGTCGGGTGATGAGCCTAATAAAATATCCTTGTTTCCTTTGTTTTTTTTTCTTCACTCTCTTGTACTGCATTCTATGATTCTACTGTATCTTTCACGCCTTTTTAACATCGCATTGGGGTGTTTATGTTATTGTTTCGGTTGCTTTGTCATAACAGCACTGCTCTTTGGGATTCCAGGTACTGGAATGAGTGTATTGCTAGTCCTGTCTTAACATGTTTCCCCTTCGTTTGACTAAATTGTGATCCTAGCGTGAACCTATTTAGATGAGTGCATCCACCTCTGAATTGTGTTATGATTACACATTTTTTACTTTAAATAGCATCAAAGAAATAGTCTAAAATTTCAGTTTTAGAGTCCTAAACTAAAAAGACTATTTATGCAGCCAGCAGATGGTGTAAGAATGGTTCACGCAGTGCTAAACGAAAGGAAACAGCTGTTACTCAAAACAGATCATGTGACAGAAGTGGTATTTGTGCAGAAGCTTTTTAGATGCACAATTTGATTGTACTGTACTGTGCCATTTCATTATGAATCGCTTCTGTATTCTTCTATAATGTGTGTTACAGATCTTATTTTTCCAATGAGTCTAGGATTTGTTCTTGTCCTTTAAGGAACCGTGTATCTTGTAATACAAGAATATCAAGAAAAACTTGTTTGACTGGTTTCGTTTGACACATTTGAGGACGTATCCACACACACACACACAAATGTAATGGATTGTAGCGTCCACACTGTTGTACTTTATTTATGCATGCACAATTCATAACCACAAGTATTACATAACAATGAATCAAAGCATGATTAGACAATGCTCTGAGCACAGAATGTGCCGATAAAACGTGTAAACCCTTTTAAAGCATGCCACAGCCTTTAGCTGTTCTCTCCTCTATCATGACACATAAGATCATCTGTTGTGTTCCTCCAAATAAGACGAGGAGCAGGGCACATCAAGCCCATCCCTGTGCAATCAGGGTCTCTTTTATTGTCTTTAACCACTAGTGATTAGAAAGGAGCATCTTTGAATTCTGTTCATTAAAAAAACAAACATGTGAACACACACCCTATATTGCACCATTTTAACTAATGAAATGTCTGTATGGACACACAAATCTCACACGATCAGATGTGAGAAAAACAAATGGATCATCACCACCCCTAGCACGCAAAAAGTTCTTACTCAATTGTGAATCGAAATGTAAGAGTAATCAATGACCCCACAGCGACAGCACTGGATCAGCTGTGTATCTAAATGATTAGCACTGGAGTAGGCGATAGTACGCGATAGATGGATCAGTGCCTGTGCGTCAGGCACATTCTAGTCTTTCGCAATTGAAGGATGGTTTTGAACTGCTAGTTTTGTTGAGGTGTTTGTTGATGGCCATGGCGGTAAGCGCATGATTTTGTCTATACTGTATGTTTTGTCTCAATTTCTGTATAGACCTTTCAAAGTCTTGATTATAACAACTCTACGAACATTTCCACTATTATTGTCCAGGAAACGATGATACAGTTCTTTGCACATACGTTGATGGGGGATGTTGTCACAATATACTTTTATAGGCAGCCGTTTCAGCTCAATTAAAACACTAAAACAATTATAAAACAGAAACCAATACATAAAACGGCAAACACGTATAGCATTTAAAGTACGTTACAATTTGCCCTAATAAAAATATGACAACAAAAGACTTAAAAATGAGTGTAATTTAAGGCAGCATCAAACTAGCTATTAAACAAGCACCTGTTTTATAGTTACTTATAAATATAGGCCTTGTGACAACTTCCTCATTTAACCACTGGCCCAGGTCTCCTTTCCTTGATTAAAATAATACATCTCTTATAAATTACAGAAGTAATAAGTGCAGCTTTTATACCTTATTGACAATTAAGATGGTAGTAAATAATATAGCATTTTTTCTTTTGTATTTGTCGCATCTTGCTGAACAGCCTGACTTTTTATACACCTTATCATTTTGCAATGTCACTCTTATCTTTAGAACGTCACAATAGATGGCTTTGTACGCTAAGCTTGCACTCTCTGATCCTGTTTGTGTGTTTTTGAAGTTACATGAGCATTATGTGGGGGATGTGCTTCAGGAATGGTGGAGTTGCCTCCCTTCCAGTGAATTTCATTGAAAAGGAAAGCATTTCACCAATGTTGTTCATCTGGGAAGACCTTAGTGACTGTGCATTGTATCAAGATTTGACTGTGACTTCCATGTTGTGAAATGGCATGTGTGTTTATGGTATTTATGGCGTCTGTGTGCTCTGGTTGCAGTGAGTGTGGAGTCTTATCTCAGCTTATGTGAAGCTGTAAATGATGAACAGCGATGTTTTAATGATAAGGCTTAATGAATAGGTTGTGTGAAGCAGAATGCTGCATGCATGGAGTAGATCTTGTTTATCCCACAGTATATTGTAAGATATTAAAGGGATAGTTCACCCAAAAATGAAAATTTGATGTTTATCTGCTTACCCCCAGGGCATCCAAGATGTAGGTGACGTTGTTTCTTCAGTAGAACACAAATGAAGATTTTTAACTCAAACCGTTGCAGTCTGTCAGTAGGCTGCGATAGATGGTGTTTTTGGTTATACCGGTGTTAAGCTGCAACAACGTTACGTCATTTGCACCAGCCCCCACCATCGTTTAGTTTTTTTTTATAGTAACAAAAATCATTTAGCCTAGTTCAGTTAGAGGACAGATACTTTTAAAAACTAAACGCTCAATGCAGTGTGCCGAACTGTGCACGAACAACAGTGCACCACGGAGCAGGAGTCAGATTTTATTTATCACGTGAGGAGAGTGAGTCGAGCTGACTGACAAGAGTGAGGTGAAAAAGACAAGACGATGGCAGAAGATTGTTTAGAAAGGAAATGCAAAGGCGCCTGTTTGGCAATATTTTAGATTTTGAAAAGCCTGGAAGTTTTTTTAAACATTCGTTTCTTATTTATTTGGTTCCACAGTGTTTGCTGATTACTTTTTCAACTTTGTGTATTTTATTTATTTTTATTTTACATCAAGGTGTATATGCCGTGCCTCCAAGCTTTCTTATTCGTTTTGCTAATAAACGTTCTGTTAATTATTTATTTGGTTCCACAGTGTTTGCTGATTTTCAGTTTTATATACCTATTTAAACTTTGTGTAGCCTAAGTAATTTGTTTTTCGTTTTTATTCGTTTTGTTAATAAAAGTTCTGAGTTTGATGTTGTTGTTGCTTGAATTGAATCAACGCTGAATTGCGTTAACACTGAAAAGTAAAACACGCACGGCACTTTTTCAAACTATTTGAAAGCCAAGAAATCCGAGGAAAAGAGGGAAAACTCAAACGAACAATTGCTTGATGCCGAATTGCGGTATTTGCTAATTTGCTTACTAATTTGAAAGTGAAAGTAAAATTCGCACTGCACTTTTACAAGACATTTGAAAGCGAAGAAAAGAGGGAAACTCAAACGAACTAACACCACCCCACCCCAACGGTGATACCGGTATTACCGGTGTTGTCACTTGTCGATTAACCGGTGGGAAAATTTCCTCACCATCACAACCCTATCTGTCAGTCTTATAATGGAAGTGAATAGGAATCATGGCTTTGAGAGTCAAAAAAACATACACAAACAAAACCAAATTAAACCTTGTGGCTCGTGACGATACATTGATGTGTAAAGACACGAAACGATCGGTCTGTGCAAGAAACTGAACAGTTTTTATATCGTTTTTTACCTCTGATGCACTGCAATGTCTGAACTGTCCTGAGCGTGTCCTGGCGCGTCTTCTTCTTCGTCTTGCTTTACGGCGGATCGCAGACTTATAAGTGCATTACCGCCACCTATCTCTCAAATGGACCATTGACACTCCCCATTTGAGAGATAGGTGGCAGTAATGCACTTATAAGTCTGCGATCTGCCGTAAAGCAAGAAGAAGACGACGACTGTCATGCACCGGCTGTCGAGGATGCACTCAGGACAGTTCAGACATTGCAGTGCATCAGAGGTAAAAAAAAAACTATATAAATACTAACGATATAATTACTGTTCGGTTTGAGTTAAAAATCTTCGTTTGTGTTCTACTGAAGAAACAAAAGTCACCTACATCTTGGATGCCCTGGGGGTAAGCATATAAACATCAATCAACTATCCCTTTAAGTGGTAGAAAGAAAATATCTGAAGTGCATCAATGAATTAATACACTTACAGGTTGGTGTTTTATCATCTGCCCTTTTAAATGAAAACTTGGACTGTGAAATGACATGATGTTAGAGTATGTATTTAGTATGAAGTAATATGTAGGGGAAGATGCCCCCTTTAAGAACAATGTCCATCCACTTTTAAATTGGAAAATATTTAGATAAACGTTTAGCATGTACAGGAAGTCAATGTGTTAAGGAAAAAAATTATAATAACTTTTTTACATTTTGTTATCATAGCACAAAATGTACAATTATTTAAAGAGGCCATTGTTGTTTGTGGGGTAAATTCCTGGGTAAACTTTTACAGAATATATAAATGATGTTTAAAATCTGTTTTATTAATGTTAAATCATTTGTAAAGTGTTATGAATGTAATCAACTATCAAGTCAACTATTCTACTTAAAATTGTATTTTGAAAATGTATTTGAATAATCAAATAATCAGTGGCAGACAGCAGAATCCCATTAAAAGAGATTAATTGGAAGGGTAAAAGGAATATGAATACATATTTAACGGTGCATATTTTTATTGAAGATGTGTCATAATAGCAACACTGTGCATTCATTTGGAATTATTGCACTCAATTATTTTACTCCACAAATCTAAAAATCCCTCATTAACAAATAGACAAAAAAACCTTTGATATTGAACATAATGTAATGTATAATGCACATAATGCACAGATCACTGTTTTCCAGAGAGACATAATTACATCAATTAATCTGATCATTAAACTTTTTTGACTGACAAAATCTCACAAATGTTGATATTTATATAAAATGACAAAATGAAGAAAGCCACAGTAATTCATAAAATGTGATGAGATGGGATTTTTGTGACATTTATTGTTAAAAGAAAAAATTAAGGTGGGGGGTGGGGCTCATTTTACTTCTTTTTTCTTTACTTCATCTTACCTCATCTTATGTGATGGACTTTATAGGGTAGCTTCAATGGGTCACACACCCACAGCCAACAAACAGACAGGTTTTGGAACACAAACAATATTAGGCCTTTTCCCATAAGTTTTTGAAGCATGTATTAAAAATAATTTTGTATAATCTGTATCCAGATTCTGGATCTTACATTTTAAGTCAGGGTTTCTCATTTGCATCCTCATTCAGAAAGGCAAGCTCCGCCCCTGGGCCTTCACTGCATGAAAAGTTAATGATTAGCAGCATAAAGATGTATGTAGCTGCAGGACAGACCTGCCATGAAAGCTGTATATCTCCATTTCAAATGGTGCAATTCCTCCTTTGGAAGTAGGTGTTGAATTATCAGTTTTATGCTAACTTGCACTGTCTGCAGTCTAATCCGATATAGCCATATGTGTAATAACACAATTGTCACAGCATAGGTCATTAACACTACGGGATTAAAATAAACATATTAAGTTGTGGACCACTTGCAGTGTTATATTTTGGAATTGGTTGTGTTTCTGACAGAAAAACAAAAACTACATCACTTTCTACTACAGTAGAAAGTAATTAGATTATCTGAAATTGGTTTGACCTCAGAAAGCCATTTAATTACCAAAAACATTTTTCTAAATTGAAGCTACTTTGGAAACTCTAATAGGGTGAATTCCTGAAAAATTGCTAGCTATTTGACAGTCTGTGTGTGTGCATTGCTTTTAATGGTGTCTATTCATGAAGCACATTCACCTTTGTGCTCTAATGTGCTTGATGCACTTGACGGAGCTTTTGCATATCCACTCCAACATTAGCCAAGACACTTATAACGATTTCTTCTAAGACTGCAGGAAAATCCATAATGGGATCTAATACTTACAGCTACAAATAGAAAATTTTTTGGATTCCACTAATTTGTCCCCTCTGGCGAATTCAAGTTTTTGCACAAAGTAATTAGTGAAGTTTGCTACTGGAAACATCAGTATTATATTGCTCATGTATGCAGTTAGTGATTTGAATAAACCACTTGTCCCACACTTTTTGTATTGTCATCATGAATACTATATCAAATTGTGGGGCTTGTTGAGGAGAGAGAGAAAATTCCCATATGTTTACAATGATGGATTGACCCTAGCCATATCTAGAAACTAGAGCGGACTATTTTGCAACCCAGGTTCATGAAAAATGTGTGCCTTTTGGTGTCAAAAATTATATCACTTTGCTTCTTGCACGTTTTGTGGCAGTTTCAGTGTCCAGTGAGTGGTTCTAAAAAGCATGTACAATTTTCTCC